CGCTCTAAAGGTGGAAAAAAATCTAAAGGCAAGAAATCGAAAAAGTCTAAAGGAAAAAGTGGAGGACGTCGCAAGAAACGATCTAAGAAAGGAAAAGCTGCTGGAACATAACTGAAAAACACGAAGATGGACTTTCAACTTATCAGGCACTAATAAATATAAATATTTGCAAGTAAAGTTTAAACTAAAACCCTTTGTCCGAGACTTGTAGATGCAAGAATATTAACTTATCAATGTATTTTTGTTTAATTATTAAATGTCCAGTAACGAATTCAAAGCATTTCAGTTTATTAGTTTAAGTACCAAATTTAAGATACATGAGCATTTTTTAATATTTTATTTATTAGTTATTATGTTAGTTAAAAATACATTAAAATATTTGGCCGAATCTAGGTACTGCTGCTATTTTTTTTGGTACTATTCCGTTTCTGGAGGCTGTAAATAAATTGTCTAACTATTTTTGATACCATAATTATGATAGGTACAAGTGGTATTAGGTACTACTCCGTTAATTAAGCATGACTGGCATCAATAATAGTTTGGCGATTTTTTTTTTACGGTCTCCTAAAACAGAATTGTACTATTACTTTCTACGGTACTTATCCATTTCATCCGAGTAAATAAATTCAGCAATTTAATTTTCTTCTTATTCAAATAAAGAAATTAAGAAAGAGTTGAATTTAGTTTTTCTTTCTTTCCATACGCGACTTGATCACCTACCCCGGCGAAATGGATAAGTGCCATTTCTATTATGGCGTAGAAAAGAACATAATTTTTAAAAAAAATCTCCAAGATAATGGAAAAGACAATAATGTAAGGCTTAATCCTAGTATACGTTACACGGTGAGTTTTGCAACATTGGCGATGTTTGAGAGGGCGATAAATTTTAGACCATTTCTGCTATACAGAAAGAATGCAAAAAAAAAAAAAGTTACGGAAATATCCAAAACTTAAATTTCTTAAAAAAATAATATAGCAGTTGTGACAACTCTTGTTGACTAGAGGCATAACTATTTATTATAATTAAAGTTTCGGATAATTACTTACCAATCGGGTTATTTTTTTACAGATAATTTTGCAGTTTCAGAAAACATTTATGGAATTTATTTCTCTACTTCAAAAGTAATAAGTTATATATTATCAAAAACGAAAATTTTTACCTTGAACATGTTGTAAGCTGACGAAAACAAAGAGTTGGCGGTAAAAGATCGCTTTAATTTACGTCTTTTATTATTAATCGGAAGCTTTTATATTTTTAAAAGGCTTAAACTAGAAGTTTAAATTTAAAAATTAGTATCAAATTTATTGTTTTGACTAATGAATTAGGTTCCTGTATAACTTTGCGTTTTATAAGTATTTTTTAAAGCAATAGTTTAGTGCTGAATTAGAACTCAAACGAGAAATCGTTAGAAAATTAGAATTTAAACGTGATTCTCTCGACTGTATTCATTATCGTACATTTGGCGAAATTTCCACGATTAACAAAACTTTTGCCCAAAATTTCACATTCAAAATTCATGTCTACGCAACAAAAGCAAAACAGAAAGCATTCTTTTAACATATTTCATAACCGAGAAACTAAACCGGTTAGCCGGGCGCACGGAAATTCAACTATTATCTTTTCCTTTTTTTTAATATTTTATTTAATTTTTATGAGTTTAAAAAATAAGCAAAATTAAAAATAGTTAAAAAGTTGGCGGATGTTTACATTTTTTGACGACTTTTCGCTTGCGCTGGGCTAACCGAATAGTACCACAAAACCTATCTATATAATATAAAAAAATCAGTTTTGATTTGCAGATGACACTTCGGATACCTTCCTCGTTTGATATGATACATTCAATTGATAGTACTAAGCATAATTGACAGCTAGTTATATACAAATTTTAGTAAAAACTGTTACCACCATAGAGTAGTTTTCAGCAAAATTTGTATAATTATATAGTTTAACTTAGCATGATCTTTAAACATCATGTTAGAACCAATTCGTTGATTTGTAAAAAAATGTACAAACTTGTCATTTACTTTAATATGTCAACACAAATCCTTTTAATATCTTTATAGTTAAAGAACAATTTAAATATGAAGGAAAGTTTTTTTTTTCTCTTCTTACTAATACAATTTTTCCATATCGCCGGCGCAAAGAATAAAGTTGCCAATAAAAAGTCACTGAGAGCATTTTTTAATTTTTGGTGATCACTATTTAAAAAAAACAACTAAATAAATAAATAAAATAACTTAATTTACTTGCACCGGCGAAATGGAAAAGTACTAAAAAATCTTGTACATTGGCTAAGTCTATAATTATGTTTCCCCCCTTTTTTTAATATAAAAGTTGGATACCAACCCAATTATTGATAATAAGTATACATTACATCAACGTTGCTTATTTTATTTTGAAGGTCTTACAAAAGCGGGTACTTTCCGTTTTTTGGTATTATCACAACACGTATATCAGTATAGTAGGAACATATTATCTCACTAGCTATATTAGTTACCTATACTAACATATTACGTACCTAAATATACCAGTAAATTAAGTACCAGTCAATTTACCTGGATACTTATTATCACAGTACCTATATTAGTAAATTGAATATTAATTACCACATTTAAATAAGCATCACTGACGTCAATAATAGTTCGGCAATTTTTGTACGGTCGCCAAAACTGAATAGGACTAAAATGCGTAACATCCAGATGAGAAAAGCGAAAATCTTTAAGTAGCGTTATAGTCATTTATTTTACTTGGATGAAAGAAATAAGTTTAAAGAAACAACTATTTTGCGTACCCTTATCAGAGATGCCAACTTGCTCCGGACAGCGAATAAATATTTTTAAGTGGTAGCTTATTAATTGTAATTCTTGGTTAAATAAATTCAATTTATTAGATTTTTATCTACCACTATTTCTAAATTATTCGTAGGTTTATATAATTCATCACTTTTTATAGTTATGTTATTTTAAACTCTTTAAAAAGCAGGTAAAACTAGTCAGGTATTTACAAAATTTAGTTTGTAATTATTTACCGTTTTTCAAATTATTTTGGCGTGTCCGGTGCAGTTGGCATCTCTGCTTTATACTTAAATCTTTTTTACTAAATCAACCATAGTCTGAATTTTATGTATAGTATATTCCAATAAAAAAAAAATATGTTTACTTTGCTATTTTTTTCCAATACCTGCAACATCAAAATATTATGAAATACGAATACACTCTCAGAAAAATTGCCTCAACTTTTAGCTATAATATCAGTATTTTGAATTATAGCATGCAAACTCTGCACTTTTGATAAAGTGTTAAAATAAACCATATTTTCCTTTTCGTTCAAGTTTAAGAAGGAGTAATTATCGTGATAATATAATTCAACTTGGCATCACGCAAACAAGCAAATTTGTGGTTCCAAAATTTTTAACGATGCAGGTCTTGAATTTCGTCCTATTGTGATATACAAGGAAATTAGACAACCATTTTGGGAACTGGAGAAATTTTTCGTGCAAATTTATAACAATCTTTATCAAAGGTTAAAATGAACCTTGTTGCCGTTCGAGTTGAATCAAGATTAAGAAGGAATTATCATTGATGATAAAATACAAAGTTGTAAAAAATTCATCTTAAGTTCAAAATTATACAGCACTATTGTTTCACAAATTTGCGATTTAAGCCACTACAAACTGAATGATTTTTCTTTAAAGTACCAACCTGGTTTATAAGCATTCAGGGTTTAAAAATGGATTGGATACATTTTATGAGTATTTATTTTACTGAGTTGAATTGAATGTTTTTTTGCTGATGAATGATAATTAAAAGGATCAGATATAACAATAGTATAATCTTCATATTTAGAGTAAAAAATAATTCATATTTTAAGTATTTAGAGGTATCACATACAAGAACTGTGATAATAGGTTCTTTTATAGTTCCCTGAAAGGAATAAGTACTTTATTTTTTGCCGTATAAATTTTTTAACTTTTCATTATTTCAACCTACTAGTATTCATATCATCACATATTAATATCAGGTGTGTAACAAGTGAGATTAAAATACAAGTAATTCAAACGTAGCAAAAAAACAAAGCACCATAGTTTTTGCCAAAGTACTTAAAAAATTAAGTAGAAACAAATTTGAAAAGTACAAGGGCCCACTAAAAATTTTATTGTGTTTTTTTATTATTTATAAATATGTTTAAATTACTAATTGTATAGATTGAGCAGGGGTTCACACAATCTAATCGCCATGACGCCTAAATACTAGCAGCTGGAGCCGATACTTAGCAGTTGTAGGGGGGGAGGAGATGAAAAAACATAATAAAAATTGCGAGATAGATATTACAAGATTATGAGAAATCTTTCTTTAATTTTCTATTCAAGTACAAAGTTCTGTATAAAATTATGAAAAAATTTCAACTTTTTGATAATTATCACACAGTTATGGCGTCTATTTACTTAAAGTTAAGATCTTTAACGACATAATATATATATATATATATATAANTATATATATATATATATAGATTCCTTGTAAAAAATAAAAAAATGGGGTGAAAATTATGAGCATTGAAGAAGCGCAAATACTTATTTAATCAAGTAAAACACAAAAATACTGTCCATTTCTGAAAAATTTCTATTAATTAAAGTGAGATTACAACATCATTACCAGTTAGATTACTGGTAGAACTATAAAAGTGTTTCTGACAATCGCCTTTCCTTACCTCGCAGTTTTCCTTTTCAATCAAACAGGTTTTTATATTTTAAATCCCACTTTTCTTTATAGTGATTCCTTAAATTTCAATAACTCTTCACTTTTCTGAAAAAATTATTAACGACTCTTAATGTGCATATAATTTTGAAAAATTTTTTTACAAGGAACTTAAAAACAAGTTGTAAGGATTACAGAAAACCTTTTAAATCAAATTTAGATAAATAAACTACGATTTTCCGAAAAATACCAACACTATGAAAAAAAAATATTTGTTTATGAACATGATCATAAAACTATGATAAAACCAGGCTCATATTTTTATTTAAAAAAAAAAGGAATTTATCATAGCAGATTAACATTGCAATCAGGTTCCCTCTTCAAACATCGATTCAATCTTCTAAAACTCTAATCAAGCTCCATATTTAAACAACAATCCAATCTTTTAACATTTCAGTATTTCATCTAAATCCCATTATTTCATGTAAAAATGCAGGAAATCTATTCTGGTCTGACATATATGTCTTTAGTTTCTTAGAGTCAAAGTTCTCTAGAGTTTTGAGCAACTTATCAGTGGAACAAGATATTAAGAAGCCATCTTTTTCCATTTGCTCTGCCAGCTCACTCTGGTGGTTATTCATCAACGTTTCGTTAAATACGGTAATTAATGGTTTCTGTTCTATCAGGGATTCTAAAATCGTACCCGCACCTGCATGTCCAATCACTAACGACGCTGATTTAATATCATCTGCTAGGCTATCTTTATATTTAAACCATTCGATTTCTAAGATGCTGCTTTTTTCGGGAAGGACTGTTCCACGCCCTATCTGAAGAACAACTTTGTTGAAGCCTTTGCTTTTTAAGACATGGAGAACATTTTCGGAGGTGGCAACTTTTATGAGGTTATCAAATGAAGTTGAACCCACTGTCACAAAAACGGACATTGAAACTGGTCAGATCTGTAAAGAAAATATGCTAAAGTTCTTACGTTTAACACTAGTAAGTTGATGCAGTTTCTTTTATTTACTTACATTATTCTAATTTTATATTTTCTAATGATTATTTGCGAAAATTGCATTCAAGTACAACCAGATATAGCTGTTTTGTCATAGTTTAATAAATAGGCATCTAACTTAGCGAGTTAACATTAGTCACCAAATCATTAAATAACGACAAAACAGTGAATTAATTGATTATTTTACATATCTAATAGGTGAATAAAAAGTTCTGCTCAGGCGTAATAAAAATTTTACACCTAAAATGAAATCATTTTAATTAGAACATGTTGGAATTAAAAAAATACGCCTTTATAATAATTTTTATGTCAAAGGATGTCTTGTACTCTTTGGAAGTTGTTATATAGTGAGCCAAGTGGGATGGTTTAATGGTTGAGGCTGTAGAGGTTAAAAAGTTTCTAATAGGAAAAACACTGAAAAAGGCTCAAATAAAGACCACCAAATTCGCTGTTAATAAGGCTTCACTATTATTTTAAGCATTAATGTCTACTGGGGTGTAAGCAATCTTAAAAAGTTATTTTAAAATTCTAATATTATTCTCATTGTGAAAATAACTAGTTTAGAGGTCAATTTTTTTTACTAGGTGGGCAAGTATTTACATCATTAAATGAATTATAGTTTATTTTTATTTAATTAACTAAATAAATACTTGGCTATTTCTCTTTCATAGGTATAACCAAGAATTAATGAATCAACAGTTGTTTAGAAGAACAATAGTGTTGAAATTTCTCACACTATTGTTGTTCATTACCAACAAAGGTTTCAAGCTTGAATATGCAATCCAAATATCTAGTAAAGATTAGAGGTGAAGCAACTTCAAACTAGTTTGAGCTCCAGAGATGAAACCTTTGATAAACTTATAAGTAAAAATTCTGGAATATGAATGGACCAGTGATTAAATTTTTTAAATTTTTACCCCAAACCATCACCTAAAAAGTGTCTCAAAGGGAGATGATGTCACACTTTTTTTCAATATTTTTAACCCCTCCTCCCCCTTGTCCTAAAGCCTCATACTGCTCTATGCCCCACATCCCTTAGTGACATATCACACTACATTACATAAACTAACAGTTCAGATACACTGTACTGTATACACTATACTGTATTAAGACTATATTATATATCATACACTAAAGACACTGTATTACATATCATACTTCATATTCTATTTGAAAACCTCAATTATGCATTTTGATAGCAATAGTGAGCATAACAAATATATTATATGTGTAGGATGACCCGGGGTAATTCACAATCACTCTGTTTCTGGGTTAAATAATGATCACCTAAGTTTTATTTTTAAAATATTATTTTTCTTTAAATTTGAGACATGGACAAAATTGCTTGTACACTTTACTAAAGTATAACTACATATACTCAATAATAGTTTTTTGTTTAAAGTAACAAAATGAGTATCTTTTAAACTGCTCTCTGTATTTTCCATTTCAAAGATGGGTTTCAAAATGTGCACATTTCTGTAATAATAAATATTTTGAGTTACTTTCTTTTTCTTTGATATGAAAATAGTGTAAGCTTTTGTTTAATTGTTTCACATCTATTGTAAACATTATAATTTATTATAGGAAACTATATCAAATGTTGCCCCCTACAGATGGGGTAATTATTGATCACTGGGGTAATTCCTGATCATTGTCATTTCTTTTTATAAATAGTATTAAAAATAGCTAATAAATAGCTAATTGACTTTTCTTAAATGACAGTTCAAATTTATTAAGTGGAACAACTATAAAATATATTTTAGCTGTAATCATAAAATTTGTTTTTAACTGTATGCAAGACAAATGTGTTCTGATTTGCACCATTTCTGGTTTGTCTTACCTTGCTTCTATCTTAATTTTATGTGTATAAATTTTTAGAATAATTTTTAAGTTTATAAATTAGCCTAATATAAGTATGGTGAGAAATTACGAGTCTGAAAAGGATACTAAGCTTCTAGAAAGCAAAATTAGTGAATTTCTTTTAATGATTGAAAATGAAAATTTCAGTGTGATGAGGGCTGATGCCCGAGCTGTTGACATACCTTACTAAACTTCACTCTCACTTAATGGAGATAAAAAATCCAGCAAAAGAAACCCATGTGGGAACTCTTTCTTATATTCCAGCAGAACATGAGAATGAGTTGGCTGCTTGACTAAAATGTAAGATTTTTGGAAAATTTAAAGTGTTAATCTTTATTTTTTGGTTTTAAATAAATCGTTATATTGGCTGCTTAAACATATCTTTTTGGTTTATTTGCTTGATCTTGATGTCTTATTTGTTAATTACCATTGCTTAATTATTTTAAAGCAGTCCCTTTACAATAAAAACTGGTGATCAGGAATTACCCCAGAAATGATCAAGAGAAGGGATAATTCCTGATCACTAAAAATTTAAAATCTTTTAAATAGAAATTAGATTTTCAAACAAAAGAAGGTAGCATAGGATTCATCTCATATAGCCTCAAACTAATAGTAAATATTAAAATTCTATCTTGAATAGTTTTTTCACAAAATAGATGTTTGCATTTTTTGATCAGGAATTACCCTAGGTCACCCTACCTATTTTGATGGAAAAAATAATAAAAATAAATATTATAGAAATATTAAATCTGCTGATTTTAAATGTTTTAAACTGAATTAAAATATGTGATGTCATATTTCTTGGTACTTTATCATAAACTGCCACAATTTTGAGAAAACCCCTACTTTTCCTCTAAACATGACATCATTTTGGGGAGATCCTTCAAGGTGCTCCACCATCCCTTACAATAACTAGAATCATTTACTTTAAATAATTATTCATTATAAGAGTGCAAATATTTAATATCTTATGGATGGTGTTTTCAATATAAATGTAAACAACAATCTTGTGCTCTTGACCTCTGCTCTACTTCCAGTTGGAAAGTATACAGCAGCTTACTTCAGCTCATTCTGCGAGCGATATTTTTAAACGAAGATAATTTTGTTTTCACTAAAAGAAATAATACAATTTCAGAGCTTAAATTTGCTGTATTTCATAAGATATTAATGATATTAAGTAATTCTGGTGAGTTTGAAATGAAAATTTGTTTTAGTTATTTATAGATGTATTGTTAAAAAAGGTGATATGGTTGCTAGATTTAGAAAGAAATGGCTATTTTGGCAGTCCCAATTTGGACTCTTTTTATTTGTTCATTACTGTTTGTTCTTGTTGCAAGCTGTGCACCATCGTTAGTGTTAGCATATTGTTCAGGGAGGTTTCTATATCGTGATCTGTCGCAGAATAATGGCCATGTCTTGGCAATTTCCATGCAGTCACTCGTCAAACATTTTTTAAAAAAACCATCGCAGAAAGGGACCAACACAAAGGATAGAACTCGTAGCCACTCTCGTAGCCATGTTTTTTTTAATTTTTCCAATTTAAAATCAATTTGGCCTCTTGGCGATTGTAGGTGTTGTGGCAAATCTTGATATGGAAATATCACTTATTGTTAGAGCAGCAAGATTAATTTCATTTTACAAATTAAAATTTAAAATTAAATTTCGAAGTTGGTATATTGTTGACAAGGTAAAAAGTGTTTCATAACCATTTGTTTTTTCAAATGACGATTCTTACGTCTTGAAATGAGAGGTCTTCAAATGACGATTCTTTTTTTAAACACAATTAATAAATTGGGGGTATTTCCGTATCATGATCTGTAGTGCCAAGTACAATCAACAAGGTGCCAAATAGATTTTAAACTTGCAATTCCTTAAAAAAACAAACCTGTAGATGTTTGCCTGAGGAAAGCTACGATTTATAACTTTCGAGATGGTCCCTTTCTGTGATGTTTCTTTTTTTTCTTCAGTTTCTCGTGGGCCGCTGCTCGGAAGTTGCCAAGACTTGGGAATTATACAGCCACAGATCCCCATTTGAAAATCTTTCCAATCAGGTAACAAATACATGTATACAAGAAATATTGGGGATATATCTGTAATGTGATCGGTAGCACAAACTAAAATTGCCAAGTAGCCAAATAGATTTTAAACTTGCAATTTAAAAAAAAAAAAAAAAAACAGGTAGATGTTTATCTGGGGGTGGTTACGAATTATACCTTTCGAGTTGCTATCTTTCCGTGGTGTTTTTTTTTTTTTTTTAGTTTCTCGCGGGCCGCTGCCAGAAAGTTGCCAAGACTTGGCGATTGTTTTGACACAGATCACAATATGGAATTCTCCCAAATTATTACCCAAGAGAGTCTCAAAATACAATGATCACTTTGTGAGCCAAGTGGCTTCATAATACACCAGAAACAGTTACCCAGAGGTATAGGCAGTAAAGATCTTGCAGTGCATCTCAGTGCAGAAAACACCATCCATAAGAAACAATTTTCGAACAATAATGCAATAAAAGTAAGTTAAAAATAATATCGACGATCATAGAAAATTGATTCATAAATCGAAAATATTTATGTGGTTGTCATGATACTTATATACCAATTAGTTTTCATAATTATTTAAAATACAGAACTGAATATCAGCTTCACTGATAGTATTAAAAGAAAAGTTAATCATCAAAAAAAAATTTAAGATTCTCATTATAAACAAACATTTATAACAAATATCAATGTCACTAATAGATGAGAAATATTTTTAACATGAAAACTTACCAAACAATATTATCATAACTACGGCAAGTTGGCGAAGAGTCGCCGAGGAAGGAAGATAACGTTTCTGGCGGAGGGAACCAGTTTTCCTCGGATCATGACGTTTACGCCTCTTCCTTCTCATTGGCTCAAATTCCCTGACTACTCCTTAGAACTTATCGGTTAAGATATATCAGTTATTAAGTAACCGGTTCCGATTTCTTGTTCTTAAATAACGTGTACAAAATATTAGTTCTTGAATAACGTACTCACGGTGTCAGTTCCTGAAGATAAAACACACGTTTTGCAAACGTCTAATCTAAAGTTATTAATCCTTTTATTCTTTTTTAAAAAAAAATCTGTTTGACTCAAAATTAATGAGATTACATTTGAATAATAATTTTAAAAAGTCTTATAATGCACCACAGTTTCTTTTCCTTGTTTCTGAAATATAATTCATATTTGATTTAAACATTTTATTCATTTTTCAATAGGATGAAGATTTAAATGAACTATGCATTTTTCAATACAAAATGCATTTAAGATGGATCTGAGGAAAACGTTTCTAAGAAAGCTTAGACATTT